CCAGCACAGCAGCGGCCGGCTCCTCAGCTCAGCCGAGACACGCTCACAGAGGAGAAAAACAAAAAGTTCACAGCCGACACGGTACCTCATTCCGACCAACGTTTTGCCACGTTGTACAGTTCTGAGGGGAGCGTTGCCCGAGGGGAACCGAAGATTCAGCTGCCTGGATCCAACCCTAATGATAGATTTTTTTTGTTTGTTTGTTTTCTCTTTATGTCATTTCCAGAGTTAAGCTTCTGGTTAATGACAACTAATGCAGGCACAGTCCACCCTTGCTATTTAGGGCTAAATCCACAAAGGATTAACTTCCAGCTATGGCGTGCTGTTGCCGTGTGGGCCTGCCAGCACTCTGCTAGGTAGCTAACCGTACCCATTTGGTAGTGGTTTAACCCGGCAGGCAGCTAAAACAAACTCACCACCATCCCCAGTAGAATGGGGAGAGAATTGGGGAATAAAAGGTTAAAGACAGTTTAATATGACAAGAGAATAACAATGATGATGATAATAATGATGATGATAAAAGAATATGGAAAACATATGATGCACAGCACTATCGCTCACCACCCGCAGACCACTGATGCCCAGCTAGTTCTCGAGCCACAGTCTAAACCCCCGGCCAGCTTCCCCCAAGTTATGTACTGAGCATGGCATCACATGGTATGGAATATCCAAAACACAGCACTATACCCGCTACTAGGAAGAAAAGTAACTCTATCCCAGCCGAAACCAGGACATTTAGCTAGATCAACAAACACAACACACTAAGCAGTAAGTCGCTAGAGTGAGCTAGAAGGAAGTGCCAGGAGTCACATCTAAGGCTCCTTTGCCTTAAAACCCAGAGGACGTTGGCACCTTATTACAGACTGCAGAGACTACCTGACTGCTCAGGAGTCACGGCCACCCTCTCCAGAATGAGGCACCTCACAGTCCAATGAAGCGGAGCTGCATTTGAAAACCAGGTTTGAAATCTCTTCTTTCAGGCAAGAGCTGCAAATGCAACTCCGGAGCATTATACTGACATGCTGTTTCTCTGGTTCCACCAATTTTCAATTATTCCATTGCAATGTAGGAAAGCTGCCAAGGGGGGACCTGGGAGACCTCTCACACACACCTCCCTGAGCCCAGCAGACGGATGTTCATGGGATATGAGAGACAAAGTTTGCACAGTGATGATCCACATCCCATGTAAACACATTTTGAGGGTTGCTTCTAGTCCTGGATTATCAGGGCTTTTAATCTTTATGTTTAACCTTTTTTCTCCCACTGTAGATAGGTGTTGGGAGTGCTTACATGATGAGGAACTACAGGCTTGGTAAGCTGGAGGGAGAGGGCCCGGGATACAAGCAAAGAAATTAAATAGCTGGACACTGCTACCAGACCAGTAAACAGAAGATCTGTTAGCTAAACTAAAAACAACCAAAAAAAAAGAGAGAGACCAAGGAAATTTATTTACTTTTTATCTATGAACAGTATGACATATAATTATAGACAAGTTTTGATACACAGGAAAACCCTTTTGTCAACCATTTTTTTGCTAAATGAAACAGCACAATAATCTTTACACATTCATATTTTGTTGTTTTGTTTTTTTTTTTTTCTTTACAATACACAGCTTTCTTGGGTTGAAGCAAACTGCAAGGACATATTGAGTACTGGTATATTACAGCTACTTACATCATTTAAGAACAGCAAATGGAGAAAAATAAGTTATTTAAATATTGATTTCATATACAGAAAGTGCAACTTTGTTAGTTGTTACATAACTTGCTTGACAGTTTTGATTCCCCAGAGGGTGTCAATTAAAGATAAAAGTATCTTGGACCAAAAGTATTATTTATTCTAAAAATAATACAGTACAACTGCACAGCTGTGACTTGGTGAATCGACCACTGTTGCTGCTTTTAGAGATGATGACCTGTTTGAACAATACAATGGTTAATGCTTCTGATCACGCTCCCAGTTTGCATTCAAAGCCAGGCTCGTAAGAGAGCACAGGAACTACGGGCATCATTGCCACCTGGGCAGTAACAGAGGGTTGTCGATCAAAGCTTATGATTATGATGGCATTCGGTAATATTTTGGGCTTGCTGCTTCTATTGTTAAATAGCTGTTTGAGTTACAATGGTACAATGGATAGATACTTAACATTGTTAGCCTGAGCGGAGCAGATTTGGATTCCAGCAGCAGGTTTCTTTCGTGCTTCGCAAGAGTCAACGAGTGAACTTCTGCTCAGAGCACTGAACGGTTGCAAGAAAATGTAAGAGGTTATGGCTCTCATACTACACCGCCTCACCTGCTCCGGGAACGCCACAGGTCACTGAAACCACAGCAGGGAAGCTCAAACACTGAGAAGCTTAAGGCTTTTTTAGATTAAATATAAACGAAAATTGTAATTCAAGTAAGACCACAGAGCACAGTCTTAAAAAGAAAAACAAAGCAACTATAAAACCCCACAAATCTCAAACTGCTCACTCTAGCCCTGATGGGTGCGATTTGGTTTCCCAGGGCTACATAATAATTTAAAAATCATGGATTTACAAAGAGTGTTTGGCACACAGGTTCTGCTTATTCCCATAATTCTCCTTCTGTTATTAAGAGAGGGGAGAAAGTAATTAATACGGGAGAGCTTTATTATGTGACTTGCCTTCCCAGCAACATGAGGAAATTCGTTTCCTTTTTTATCGCATACAGCCAGCTTGGACTTTTCCTTCACGCCAATATAGCTGCTGTCTACTTACTTCTACTCAGTTCTGACCCCTGCCAGCAATCCCAGGAAGTCTCACTACTCTTTCCATCTCCTGCTTACTGATAGTCGCCATGTAAGCCTCAGAGAGGAACAACACACAAATCATCATCATATTGAAAAGACACACGACTAATTTTTTTACAATTTTTTCTATAGGTGTTTACACAACACCTATACTGTATGTTTCCTGATGCTGTCAATATTAGAACACGCTGATTATCCACACACCAAGGAGAACGTTACAGAAACAGATCCAGAGGAGCTTTGCTCGAGAATAACTTCAAGTTACATCAGTGAATTAGTTGCCTTCACATGACGGTGTGCAGTAGACAGTGGTGAAATATGAAATGAGGAGAGTAAACCTAATACCTATCAATTCTACCAGGAGCCAAATTAATTATCACCTATAGTAAAATGCATAGTTCTTCTGACTTAAATCATGACCATGAAAGGACCGTATACAGTAAGGAATCATGGGGTAAACCACAATTTTTCATTCATCAATCTGAGAGCATTTGATCAGGAAAAGTGTCATTAGCTCAATGTGAGGCTGGGATAACCGAGGCACTAAACTGGGAAGTGCCTTGTCTGTTTTTTTACAGTAAGCTGATGTCAGAACTGATACTGGAAACAGCCACACCTCCTGGAGACGGTTTTGATACTATCTCCCTTCAACCTGCCAGAGTAAGCTTGCTCTGTCTTCCATGGAGTGCTTGTGCTACAAGAAGCTGAAGGACACACCATATATAGACCCCAAACAAATAGTTAGTTATGTGCTATTCATGATAATCTGTATTTGGTATATAAAACGTGTACCCATATAGAAAAATAAAATCTGTCATTAGCCACATATGCGAATGGAATGTTTTACATGGATTTAGGCAGAAAAATATCATTACATCATGGAAAAATGGTTCGCCACATATGCTGGAACAATGCTCTCTTCCAGTGAGAGGTAACATTAACATACAGTCATGAGGGATATCAACTGTTTTAAAATCACAGTGTAATTCATAAGACTATCTAGGATTTTTTTTCATCCATGCAATGGAGTTACCGGATCTGATGATTTCTGTGGGACACAGTTTGCTTTTTCGATGCATTTTATCTCCCACAAGTGAATTTTCATTTGCAGAAACCCACTGTTTGGAATCAATATGGTCAGGATACCAAGTCAAAGCTGCAGCATAATGATTGACAATATAACACAGTACACAGAATATGATTAAAATGAAGCAGTTACATATATACAAGGCAGTATATCTTGGAACAGTTTAGTAACAACAGTAAATGCAGACTGTAGTGAACAAGAAGTTATCCTGACAACTGAAACCTAGCATAACCCTGCATTTATAAAAGCATCTCTACAAAACAGAAGGTGTTATGATGAGGCATTTTATAGAAGCAACTTCAGCTGGAAATCACCCTAAGTGCAGCCTAAGGGCGAAAGGTTGAAACAAGGCTTGAGAAACATGAATACAGGTAAGTGAACACTAGGTAACTGCTTAAAAGCTCATTTTAAGGCAAATAAAAAGCTGATTGCTAGAAAGCAGTTATAAAAATGACCTCAGCTCTGTACAAATAAAAAGTTTTCTGACTCTCCGTGGGTTAGTTGCATTGGAGTGACAGTATGGACCATAATGAAATCTAATTCCAGTCCATTAACTTTGGCCTAGCTAAAGGCTTTGTGGTGTATTGGGACCTATACCAAGCAACAGCAAAGATGACCGGGGGCGGGGGTGTGTTTAGCTTTAGACTGCTAAAATAAACAAAAGGCATTTGCCAAACAGCTTCCACTGGAATTTGCATCTTGGCTTGTACCTGGTCTTCAGGACTGACTTCAGATACCTGGAACCTAGATATATGGAAGACCCCCAACCTAAGGAGCTCTCCATAGAAATGGGGCCTATTAGTAGTATTACTTTCACAAACTTCAGGAAAATGTGCAAGGGTCCCTTAATTCTGTGAAGCTGTCTGATTCTCAGGCCAACCCTGTGCACTTTATGAAATAAGAATACTTTACAGGGGAGTGAGGGGGGAGGGAAGTACCACATCTATGTTACCTGGTGGTTGCTTCTCTTCTCCTTCAGTTGCCAAAGACAGCAACAGAAACATTTCATATCCTTTGAAGATACCTGCCTGTCCTTGGGAGCCACTTCCTTGATCCCTTTAGCTATGTGAAGTAATTAGAGCCATATTGGTGCAGGAAGAAGCAGTGGATTCTCGACCAGGCAATGCCACGCTATGGAGAATGTTAAATTGCCTCTGGATCAAGAGATTTGAAGAGTCTTGCCGCTGCCAGGAGCTTGCTTATGTGTCTCTCCTCTGTGATGCCAGCTTCTTGAAGGCAAGTTTGTGACAGAGAAGGCACTTTGCTCAGTGTGTTGAATCCTGCTTCTGTGAGCAGTCTGGAATACATAGGTAGACCAATGGAAATCAGCCAGTCAGATACAGAGGTGATAAGTCCTGGGGATACAGGTTTTCGGCAAATTTCAGTGAGCCCTCCACTTGGAATCTGGACAGTAAAGGAAAAAAAAAAAGAAAACAACCCTTAATGTTAAACATAACTTCTCAGTTTACAGCTAGTCTTCTTTTATTTTTCCTTCCAAACTGGTAGAATTTCATAGCAGATGTTTCAATTTCTCTCACGTCACATTTGTCAGAGTGGTGTGGGCTGAAAGGCTAAGATCACTTGGCACACGAGCAACAGCAACAATTTTGGCCATGTTCATGCAGTGGGCTGTATCCAGCTGCTTGGGCGACCGTCATGTGCCATTCTGATTTAGTCCAAGATCAGTATAAAATACCCAGTGACAAGACTTTCCAGGGTGATCCATTTAATTTCTCAATAGGGCAAGAGAATACCGATTTTGCCTATTACCTCCCCAGATAGACCAAGTTCTTTTATAAAAAGCCATGAAAGCTTTTGATGGTTTCCCCCTCCGACTTTTGCTAAGGACGAGTGGACAATAGCATAATTTAAGAAATGAAAAAGGAGTGTAAAACCTTTAGATTTCAATACAGAAGCATTTAATACATGCCACCCTTAGCGAGCAAGTCTCTGTTACCATTGCTTGCAGTCACCTTAGACTTTAACGACTATTACTCAGTCGAGACAGGGCTACCCGCTCTCCTTTCAACTAACTGTCCTCCTTCAGGACAGGGGGAGGTACCTACATTGTACCTGCTGGATGAACAGAGGAAGAGCTTTTGTACCAGGACTTCACAGGTATCTGCCTTTACCAGCAGCCAGTCCTTTTTAAAAGTCTGCTCATCAATAAAAGAATTGGGTTTGTAGAAATACTCACTGCCATGCGATGCTGCTTCCTCAGCTGCTTTACCCGGATTTGGTCCATATTTGTAGCAACATCCTTTTCAGGCTGGTCTAAGTCTTCGGAGTACCTCTGTACCAAAGCCTCAGGAATGCAACAGCGACCATG